CTCCATTCTGCTCTTAATTACAGGTTGATGCCGTTTTCTTTTTTAAATACCGTAAATCCTCTAATACAGGCCCGGGCCTGTATTTTACTCAAGCTCATCAAGCTCCAGGCCTTTATTGGAAGCGCCAGAATTAGAGGCAGGCCTCAATTTCTATTTGAGCAAAATGAACTACCAGTAGAATGAATAAAAATGGGGTGTGTCTATTTGAGCCTATAAAATACTAGGTTCATTTATTGAAAATGTACAGTTACCATAACGTGGTACGGTTTCCATATAAAACATTAACAACAAGGCTAAATTACAGTAGGGAAATACTGTATTGTAACAAAACAATAGCAAACATACCTGTACTGCATTTTAAACGTTATTAAATACTGGCATTAGAAAAGGCAAATGCCACCTTACCGCTTCAAAGTTGAATCATTTTGTCTCGTTTGGGTTGTAGAAAAAATTAAATAAAAACCCTCAAATTCAATTCAATCTTTGTCCAGTTTAAAGTAAGAAAAATAAAATCCCGGAAATCCAATTCAGTTTCATCCTCATCCAGTTTGATGGGTCGATGTTAAAACGTTTAGCAGCTTGCTCCCCTGAGCGTTCTGCAGCATATATCAGCACGTTCTCTCTGAACTTGATATCAAATTTTCGCCTCCTCTTCGGCTCCGCACCTGCCATGGTTAAAGTTACCCTCGCGGTCTATCACTGGCAAATCAAAAGTGAGACGGATGACACAACCGCCCCCCTGTGGTACTTGCCTGTTACCACATTCCATCCGGCCACAATACAAAAAAACGGCCATTATTCACCTCCGCCGACTCCGACACCGGCCAAAAAGTGATACCCGGCCGTTAATCGAATACAGGCCAATATTAGAGGATTTACGGTAGTTTGGTTTTCTTGCACATATCATATCAGAGAAAAAGCCAGAGCTAACTTATTTGTACTTTCATCTTTGGATTTTAAATCCTTTGTATTGAATTACAGGTTGATAATTATTAAAACTGTGATGTTATCTTTATTAAAACTATATAATATGTACAAAAAAATAAACCCTCATCTAATAAAGTGACTCTACGAGACATGATAATGGCTAGCCTCTCCGATGCTAACGCCAGCCTAACCATGCTAAAGGTCCGTCGAGGGGGTAGGAAATCCAGGTAGTGGCCAGCCTAGGCATGCTAATGGCTAGCCTCTCCGATGCTAATAGACAGCAGAGGGAGTGTGTGATCCAGTCAATGACCAGCCGAGGGCAGCTAGTCCCTAGCGTATCTAGTAGTAATGCCGGTAAAGGTGCTATTTCTCAGTAAGCAGTGCCAGCCTCTCAGTTACTGGCGCCAACTTATCATTAATCAGATCGGTAGTTTGCTTCAGAATTTATATGGCCTCCTGCTTCTGGGCAGTAGTCTTGATTTTGGCCCCCATACCGCACCATACTTTTCCTCCTCTATCTGCTTCCTCTTCAGCTCTTTTCAAGGAATTTCCTACCATCTTTATGCAGATGACATCCAATTGTACAGTACATCTCCTTTAAGCTCCAGGAGATGTCTAAGCTGGAGCTGTTACACACCTGCTTAGACTCTATTAAACCTGGATGGCTGGGAGCTTTCTACAGCTGAATGAAGATAAGACTGAGATCCTCATATCTGCCTCAGACAAGCTGGTTCCCAAAGTCAGAGACTCTCTTGGTCAACTTGCTTCTCACACTAAACCCTCTGTCAGGAATCTTGGTGTGACCTTTGACCCAGCTCTCACCCTGGATTCAGGGTTTTGATGTCAGTTCTCTTGTTTGCTCTTCTTTCTACAATCTCAGGAACATTGCTAAGAAAGTTGTTAAAATCCTGGTTATGGTTTAGGGCCTTACATTGACAAGCACCATCATACACTGGTGATCTTCCACACCCCAGCAGATCCCTGAGGTCCAGTGACCAAAGTCTACTGGTTGTGCAGCGCACCAGGCTAAAGACCAAAAGTGACAGATCATTTGCCGCTGTGGCTCCCAGACTCTGGAACTTCAGTTTTTAGATTGATGATATTTATTTCTTTATTCCAAGAGTGACCATGCTTGATAAAGAACCATTTGGAAAAAAATATTTCCAGATGGTGACCAGTACTGTGTTTGCCATTGGTTGAGAGGGATCATCTTAGATAAATTAACAAAAAGATGATTTTGACAAATCTTTCACAGCCAGTGTGTTTGGTCATCATTCTGCCATCTTTACTTACTAAAACACCAACACAAAGATGTTTGTGTGCGTTAAATTGTGAGGTTGATTGCACAGATTTGTTTAAATTTACTTGACTGTAACATTGACTGGTTTAAACAATGCTGCTCTGCAGACTTTACTAATTTTACAAGAATAGTTTGTGTATCTTAAAGTATTATAAATGAAATGTTATATGAAGTACCTCACTTCTAGCTCAAAATAAAGATTTAAATCAAATTAAATGTTATACAGTGTAAAACATGATGTGTTAAATCTGTGTTTTTGAATATCATTATTATATTTTTTTAAAGAACCATTTCTGAGCTGGATTAATGAACAAAATCAACACAACTATTAGTTCCAGCTCCTCCAGCAGTGAGTCACAATCTGTTATGAAGCCTTCACGGTGTGTGATTCCAGACAGCACACTGACATGTTGGTAGAAATATTTTTTTATTTCAGCTGCTTGTGTTTTATTCTGCTGCCAAAATAATATTTAGGTGTTTTTGTTTGTTTGTTTGTTTTTGCAATCTGGGGTCTAAAGATGATTGTTGGCAAATTTGTATTTTTCTTTTTCCTTTCCAGACTAATTTACCGCAGCATGGTTTCATTTTGCTTCTCTTGATTTGCACGTAGCTCTCCGTTTCCCCAACTTCTGAGTAATTAATCAGTCTGAGGTCCACCCACGCTGCCATCATCTGCAGCATTAATAGAGACCTGTTTGGAGTACAAAGCCAGACTCCCTACAGGCACGCATGCACACACACACACAAACACACACATATTTTCATGGCCTAGACCCAGTGCAGTGGTGCGCACTAATTAACAGACAGGGAGTTCATGTAGTAGTGGCCAGCAGAGAGATAAAAAGACCATCTGAACTCTCGCAGGACAGGGGTGGGATCGGGCGGAGGGGATCCGGAGGAGGCCAAAGAGGAGCAGATGTAGGTCCAGCATATTCCTCACCTCTGGGGACCCAGCCTTCTGACCTGTCCATCGATCGCCCTCCTCTCCTTCCCTTTTCTCCCTCCGTGTCTCGTCAATGGCCGTGTCACTTCCTTCCGTTCAGGTGCATCATTAGCAATGATCAGTCGGGGAGGGTGAGGAGTGTTTGATTGTCCCTGTTTTCTGATGACAGAAGGGGTTTTATGCGGGTTGATCGCTACACTAGACATCATTTAGATTTTCCTCCCAGTTTTTCTCTTGTTGATAGATTTTGCGGCATTTCCTTTTCAGCATCAGCAGCAGTGTCTTTCTGATGAGGTACCTCCGACGCCTCTCGACCCCATCACAGAGAGATTGTGCGTGTGAACAGATGGTGTGTGTCTGTCGTGTGGTTAGGCAGCGGGGAACCCAGAGGAGGAAAAGCACACAGTAAGCTGATGTGGTCACCTCAGACTCCCTGTGGGGCTTGGCGTTTACGACTCAAACGGGTTTCGTCTGAATATTTGAGCCAATCAAACCTTAATCCTAGTAATCAAGCCAATCATGGCTGTCATAGAATTATCCATCACCTCCAGGTATGGAGGAGGTGTTTGCTTCTGAGAGAGAGAGAGAGAGAGAGAGAGAGAGAGAGAGAGAGAGAGAGAGAGAGAGAGAGAGAGCGAGAGAGAGAGAGAGAGAGAGAGAGAGAGAGAGAGAGAGAGAGAGAGAGAGAGAGAGAGAGAGAGAGAGAGAGAGAGCTTGGTTGAAAGGGAAAGGAGTGGGAAAAGGAAAAAAAAAAAGAAAAACAGGTGGGCTGATGGAAGCATGAATTCGTGTCTGGCCATCTGGTGTGTTGTCACTGAGATCCGTAATCCTATTCAACACAGAAAGTGTGTGTGAGCGTGCTCGTCTGTGTTTGAGCTAGAGAGCAACTGTTTTTCTGAGCGTGCTCGTTTGTTGTCACGTATCAGTGTCCTCACGGCATTACTCCAAAAACATGGCTGAAGTCTGGAAATTTGACATAGCTGTAAGACACACACACACACACACACACACACACACACACACACACACACACACACACACATGCACCATTATAATCAGACATACCCAGATGCATGGAGACACATCCCAGAACGGCCTCTCTAATCGTTGCTACATTTCAACAATTACCACTAACAAGTCCTTATTACCCCCAGTGCCCTGCCCCTCCGCATGATCCCAGATTCTAATTGCTGTTTCTGATCGGCTCTCTGCATAGTTTCAGGTTATCAACGCAGAGCCACACCTATGAAAGCTCGCCGTCACCGAGCACCTGTGTTTCTAGGTTAGTAACCTACAGAATCCATACGCGCGCGCCTGTGTGTGTGTGTGTGTGTGTGTGTGTGTGTGTCAGCAGCGCTGAAGCGACTCCTGCTGACTGGGCGGTGTGTTTATACACTTCTAGAAACAGCCTGTCAAACACATTAAAACCTAGCAGCTCTCTTTTTCCCCGCCTGTTAAATCACCTAATGAGTCGCTGGCTGTTGGATTAAGCTCCAGACTTTGATCACGACGGCTGAACTGGCGCGGCTGTCTGCTCTAGTGTCTCTGCGTTCAAGGGTTTTGCAGATGTGAAAGGGAACAGTGCCTCTCAGATCGCTGTCTATGAGAGCAAGTGCTCTGTTTCACCACAGACCAGGATGAAAGGGTGAACTGTGTAGCATGAGTCTAGGAAAAACAGCAGCCCATCGTGGTACATTTGACAAACAACAGGAGAAGTATCTCACACGTTTCCTATCTTAGGGGAAATCTGCTGAGTTTCACCATCCTGTCTTTCTATTCCAAAATCCTCAATTCGGTTTATCAATTTATCTATTTTTCTGTTGTTTCCAGAGGACCTGTTGCCACTGGGCTTCCCCAGTATAGACATGGGACCCCAGCTGAAGGTGGTGGAGCGGACCAAGACAGCCACCATGCTGTGTGCGGCCAGTGGCACCCCGGACCCAGAGATCTCCTGGTTCAAGGACTTCCTGCCCGTCGACCCCAGCCTCAGCCAGGGTCGCATCAAACAGCTTCGATCAGGTGACAACCTCGAGTCCATCCTTAAAAATAAATGAACAAAACTAAAAACTCCAAAAAAAAACAACAAATCCCAGTTGCTCTAAATTTGGTGATTATCAGGTTTTAATTATGATTGAAGGATTACATGCTGCTCCCTGTGTTTATCTATATCCTTTGGGGGTGTAAAACCTTTTTAAAGCCAATTTCATTAAAAGGATGATTGTGCCATCCTTAAGCCAGGGGGGAAAGAATTGAGTTTTATTAACATTTGGGAGAAAAGATTAGGAAAAAATGTCATTTTAAAGGCAAATTTATCTCTATATTATGAATCACATGCATCAAAACACTCATTGGAATGCTGTAATGCAATAAGTGTTTTATTTATCTATTAAAAATACCACAAATGTCATTAAAAAGGATGTAAATCAGCCTGGAATCAAACATTAAAGATCTACTAGTTTCATAATATTTCTAAATAGATATATAGGGACTTTTATTTGAACTACACATGTAGTTATTATGTAAATGAGCATTTTAAATTTGGAGTTTGAGAGTTATTTAATCACACAATGAGAAACGGAGAGAGAAGCCTCAGAAGGGGAAACCACGGGCGGAAATATCAACAGATAAACACGGAGGAACGACTTCTTGTGCTTAAGAAGGTTTGTTTACGCTCTTGTGTATGGATGATGCAGTGTCTCTCGGAGTGAGCCGGCATGTTTTTCACAACCATTTTCACTCAGCCGTCCTCGGGGAGGAGCGAAAGTGATGGTGAGGCGAAACCATTTCGCTGTAGCTTCATCCATATTCTCAGTGCTCCTGCATCCTGCCAGCTCTCATATCTCCACGCTGTCAACAATATCTTTCAGTGATCACTTGTAGTCTTTGTCAACTAATACATCTGTAGCACTATTTGCAGAGCCTGCAGCTGTGTTGGTGGAAGGGATATGTCAGCCATCATGAAGTCTGTCTCTGTGTAAAAGTGATAAATTATTGCTATCCTAGCTGTAGAGAGCTTCTTTGATGGACATTAATTTGAAGAAAAGGGTTTACACCCCCTGAGCTGATAAGCTAACGGCTAGTCAGAGGTCAGCCCATCCTAGTGTTGATTGAGGTTGTTTTAAAGCAATTCTAACCACTAAATGTGTGTAGTAATTTATGCTACATTAAAATACTAAAGAAATTTTCCTTCCTGTGATCATTTCTGCAGGAAATTTTAAAAATTCCTAACAGACTTCATTCCTGAAATCACTGGATTTGCAACGTCGTTGCTCCTTTTGAGACCACAACTGAGTATACATGCAAATAAAGATGGAACACAAAACTGACAGAGGTCAGGTCAGATCCATCAGCTCTTTTACAAGATGTCCTAAAATGCATTTCCATGGCACACTTATGAAAAACATTTTTACATCGCTCTTATTCCAAACTAAAGGCCTGTAGATGCCTCTAGTTTGTGATTAATTACAAAAATATATTGTGCCACTAATTGACAATGAAATTCTCCTACATTCTTAAAGTGCTTAAATGCTCTTTTGTCTCAGCTATGATAACATTTAGGATCGAGCATCAGTATAACTTATTCCTGCTAAAAACCCTGTTAAAATGATGTGCTCTGGTATTATTTTAGGCTGTAAATGAAAATGCTGGACACATCCATGTTTGTACAGTTCGTAAGACCTAAGAAACAACCATCATAAATGCATGTGAGCTAATTCTACTCTTACACATGAAAACATCTGACTGTAAAGATGTCTGGCTCTGGTAAATAAATGTGTTTAAATGCCCTAGAAGGCTCCTAAATAAGGAACAGGACAGAATAAACTATAAGTTGGTTTGTCTGAAACAGACTTTTTTTCTCTTTATCTGAGATGTTAGAAATAAACATTACATTTCAGATTCAGTTTAGTCTTTCTTAAAATCTATCCAGCTGGTCCAGTGCAGATTGCACATTTAATCAATTCTTTACAGTTTTAAATTAGCATTTTTTACACTTTTACCACTGCTTGCAGGCCTTTAGAATGTAGAGTTGCTGGAATACTGATGCTGTATGAGTGTACAGTCACTAAAGCCCTGTTTCTGTGGTGAAACCCGTTTTCAGCCCCTACACCTAATCCTAAGTGTAATTTACCTGCAATAGCCCACTGATGTGTAAAAATGGCTGCTTGCCACTGTGATATATATTGTAGCATACCTACAAGTGTAATATCCTTTGAGTAGAGCAGTCTGAAGTGTGGCTGTGAAGGAAGTGTGGTGTAAAAACAGCGTTTCTGCTGCATGGATGCAGCTGAACCACCCTAAAAACAAGACGCCCATCTGTTTCAAAGACATGTCCAACTCTAAAGCCTGTAGTCGGCCATTTCCTTCTAAAACAACAGCGAATAACCAAAAGGAGCAATTCTGGATTTAACGGTTAATTTATAAACGCAATGTTGATGTTGCTCATTCTGTTGTTTTTAACTTAGCTACAACATTTGCATTCACCTTAAAGGGACGATGCAGAGTTTCTGTGGAAAAACTGGCATCTCTGCAGATAGCTTTTTGAAAAACTTCCCTTTAGAGAAATTGAGATTAGTTCGGACTGGATCGACATGCTAACAACTATTCAATTCAATTCAATTTATTTATTTAGCGCCAAATCACGACAAGAGTCGTCTCAAGGCACTTCACATAATAAACATTCCAATTCAGGTCAGTTCATTAAGCCAATCAGAAAAAAATTTTCCTATATAAGGAACCCAGCAAATTGCATTAAGTCACTGACACAAGTCAGTGACTTTACAGCAATCCTCATACTAAGCAAGCATATAGGGACAGTGGAGAGGAAAACTCCCTTTTAACAGGAAGAAACCTCCAGAGGAGTGAATTACTCCCAGGGTAACACAACTCCACAGTTACTTTCATTTTACTTTTTTGCAGCTAATATTGGTAATTAAGCTAACTTTGTTTGGCACTTTTGGGTCAGTTTGTGACACGTTTTTACAGATTACTTTAAAGTGCCATAGTCATTTTTGAAAAAAACAAAACAAAACAAAAAAACACCCCTTGGGTGCCCCTAAGAGTCACACAATCTATTGGCTACAGAATATAGTACAACACCTGCTTGTGACACTGCTCTGCTGAGCTGCTATAAGGTCAAAGTTTCCAGAACCAGCTCAGAACAAACCAATTGTCTCCCTCTCGCCTATTGGTTGCCAGTGGCATGTGAAGAGCATTTCAAGCAATTTGGAAAAAAAGTCCCAGAAAAACATCTCAGACTGTACCTTAAAACTGAGGACATCTGCTTTGTAACTGTATGCACACTGATTAGCCTTTAGCTCATGATCAGATCTAAACTTTATTTCTGTGGTCTGAAACTGAGTTTTCAGTATGTTTTTTTTTTTTTTTTTTTACGTTCGATCGTATTATTCACAAAAACACTCAATTATTCAATTTGGTTACGTTCTGGAAGCCTATGTCAATGTTTTGAGTTGTTGCAAGACCAAGCATACACTGTTATAAATTAAATATATATGTCTGCTCCTATAGCTTTAAAGGTTTGGAACACTGAAAACCCATCTTTTAAATAATATTTCTGATTATAATTGGTCACTTTGAGTTTTTCTGGCAGGCTGAACATGAAAATAGTCTCCTACACCCATCTCCTACATTAGCTTCTGATAGAAAATAGACTGTGAAACTCTAGGACTTAAAACCCTGACAGATCTACGTCACATTGTCACTTAACATTTATGGACTCACCCAGCTTGACTCACAACGGGGTGGGCTGTTGTTGGTTTAAGCCTGATTTATACCGCAAGACCTCAAGCTTTGTTCTGTTCATCACTTTTATGGACAGAATTTCTAGACGCAGCCGTGGTGTGGAGTGTGTCGAGTTTGGGGGCAGGAGAATCTCGTCTCTGCTTTTTGCGGATGATGTGGTTCTCCTAGCTTCATCCAGCTCTGACCTTCAGCTCTTGCTGGGTAGGTTCGCGGCCGAATGTGAAGCGGCTGGGATGAGGATCAGCACCTCCAAATCTGAGACTATGGTTCTCGACCGGAAAAGGGTGGCTTGCCACCTCCGGGTCGGGGGAGAGGTCCTACCTCAAGTGGAGGAGTTTAAGTATCTCGGGGTCTTGTTCACGAGTGAGGGTAGGAGGGATCGGGAGATCGACAGGCGGATTGGTTCGGCGTCTGCAGTGATGCGGACGCTGAGCCGATCTGTCGTGGGGAAGAGGGAGCTGAGCCAGAAAGCCAGGCTCTCGATTTACCGGTCGATCTACGTCCCAATCCTCACCTATGGTCATGAGCTTTGGGTAATGACCGAAAGAACGAGATCGCGGATACAAGCGGCCGAAATGAGTTTCCTCCGTAGGGTGGCCGGGCTCAGCCTTAGAGATAGGGTGAGGAGCTCGGACATTCGGGAGGGACTCGGAGTAGAACCGCTGCTCCTCCGGATCGAAAGGAGCCAGTTGAGGTGGTTTGAGCATCTGGTCAGGATGCCTCCTGGACGCCTCCCCGGGGAGGTGTTTCGGGCATGTCCTGCCGGCAGAAGGCCCCCGGGTCGACCCAGGACACGTTGGAGAGGTTACATCTCCAATCTGGTCCGGGAACACCTTGGGGTCCTGCCGGAGGAGCTGGTGGACAAGGCCGGGGAGAGGACGGCCTGGAGCTCCCTAATTGGGATGCTGCCCCCGCGACCCGGACCCGGATAAGCGGAGGAAGACGAGACGACGAGAGACCTCAAGCTTGTGATTGGTCAGGACGCTGTTTCCCGTAAATTCGTCAGCAGCACCGTCATTGCCCCGCCACAGACATGGAACAGACTGAAGAACGCCTCACGGAAAAAATCTGAAAATATGAACGTATATGAAGGAGTACAAAGATATGCAACAAGTGTTTTTTTCATGGATGGAAATACTGGAAACATGGGTTTAGAGCATGGTTTAGATGGAGGAGAATCAAGGACTAATTTGTTGGTGTTATAAAGTCTCTGAAATATATAAACATAATGGTAAATACACTATTGTGGACCGGATGCA